ATAAGGGATTAGTGCCTAGATTTCTTACTTTAAGACAGGATAGACTACCTATATAGCTTTTTATTTATTCTTTTAATAAATAAAAAGAAATAATAAGAGGCTTGACCTGCCTGTCTCTGCTATCTTAACCTTATTAATAGATATGGCTTGTTATAGTTTTAATCACTTATAAAGGTCTGTTGCTAGCGTATAATAAGTTAAGTTAGCTATAGATATTTCTGTATAAAGATGTATTAAAGAAGTAAATGTTTTAACCTTAAACACTTATATAATAATAGCTTTATAGGCTCTTATAATAGCTTAAAAATAGCGTTTTTAAATAATTTATAATTTATTTTTAATGCCCTTTTTATACCTTATTATATTCTCTGAAATGTACTAGGCACTATAGCTATAAAGTAGCGCTGATTAAGTAGCTAATATATACATCTAGAGCCCTAAGGAGATAAAGAAGCCTTAGGTAAAGTCGAATAATGTTTTTAGGGCGCTTAAATAGTAAATCACCTGCATTTTAATTATACAGAGGTAAGGTTTCTACTATAATATCAGGTTAAGCTAGACTCTAAGTACTCTAATATTTAACTTAGGATTAAGGCTTATATTTATAAAGAATAGTAATAGTTTAGCTAGTATATTAAATCTCTTAGGCATATAAGAGAAGTAAATCAGGTTATATTTAAATAAATTAAAAAAGGACTTATAGCAGGTTACTTATAACTTATATATAAGGTATATATATTTAAGGTTTCTATAGTTCTGCTCTATACTTAGACTATATATAAGGATATTAATATTATTAATAAAGCTTATAGCGCTTATATAAGGTAACATATTCTTGTATATGTTAAAGAGATTAGTATTATAAAATAAGTAAAAGATCAGAAAGATATAAAAGCCTTACGGGATATCTATAAATATTCTACTACTTTCTAGCGTGAATTAGCTAAGGCAGATCTTAGTTTCCTTATCTTAAAGGAAGTCCTTAATCTAGTTAGTAATCTTTAAGGGAATCCGTCTCTTTTAAAGATTATAAATAAGTCTTTTATAAGAAACGTGGTCAAAGGTACTAGAGACATTAAGACTAAGTAATAAAGCTACCCTATAGCGTTTAGCCCTCTATATAGTATGAATTTTATTAGTAATTAATTAAAGGGCTGTTTTAGTAAATCTTATTCGCCTTACTCTTATTTATGTGTTTAAGAAAAGAAAGTACTTTTTAGCTATAAATTAGATGTGTTCTGTAATTATTGCTTTTAATATCTTATCTAGTGTATTAAAGAGAGCAATAAGGTAATAAGAGCTTTTAGGTTAGAGTAATCGTTTCCTAAGTTTATAAATAATAACTGTAGTAGCATATTTAAAGACTAAGAGGTAGACTTCTAAATAATAGTATGTACTAAATAAATAAGTAAGTAGCTCTAGTCGCTTATTAATAATTGTATAGATGACCTAGTTAGGAATACTATTAGGCCTTAGGGCATTATTCTTTTTAGATTTTAAGACAGCTTATATAATCTCTAAAATTATGTTAGTTTAGACGAAATATCTATAGATTCTAAGTAGATAAAGCTTTAGACATCAGAAAGATTTACTTAAAAAGGCAAGGGGAAGTAGCAGTTATAAAGTAATTTAGCTTTTACCTTAGATTCTAAGGCAGTTGCTCTGTTTCTATAGAGAATAGAGAATAAGGCTTGTATAAAGATCCCTTAAGATTATTGTCTCGCCTACTTAGTAGTCTACTATAGCCTTTTCTGTAATTCACTTGCTTTTTATATACATTATTTAAACTTTGTATATTTAGCTTTAGCTATTATATTGCTCTTCTTATTACAGGCTTTAATAAATGCCTCCTAGGCTTATTTTGTATAAGTAACATTATAATAATAGCGTAATCTTTAAAAGAGCTTAATAGTCTCTAAGCACTTTATAGTCTAGTATAATTTTAAGAATAAGCTAAGGCGCAATTA